GTTGTTCGAGCAGGAAGCGCTTTTAAGTCAATCCAGAAGGCAACAAAAGATAGTAGCACAGAGGAATATGTAGGTAAATACATTTGAAGGATGTAAAAACCGTAGGCACGAGAAAATGTGAGCGATACAGTTAGCTGTAATACAGATCTGTATTAAAATTGCATTTTTCAGTGATTGCCATATAAAACCTGATCCCATTGCCCAGCTGCGTACTCAAAACTGTTTTTTGTCCATTGCAAGCCATATAAGGTAAAATCAGCTAGTTTTGATTTGGCGATTGAGAATACCTTAAAATTTATCGTTCTTGTCTCCATTTACATCTTTCAAATACAAGTACGCGAGGAAAACCTACTGGATTCCACTCCCTCCAGTGTAAGCCGACCTTCGCTGCATTGTAAGAATAACTTTCTATCACCAGTTCGCATGTCTGAACAACTATGATATAGATTTCAACCCTATACCAAAGATTTAAAAACGCAACTAAATTCTAAGAATTTGCTGTTCTTGACACTATGGCATGGTGTTATAAATCATTAAATTTCCACCTTTCTCCCTTTTTATTAGGCAGGAGTCAGCTTTGTCGCCAGCGAAAGTACTTTTGGTTGGCGGGTTTACTTGTTCTCCAAAATGATTTTTTAATGATTGCGCAAGCTTTTTGGTAAGGTATACACTATTTCTTACTAAGGTCGAGCCGTGTGCACTTTTTAGAGCAGCCGTTTGCTGAGGTGTTCGAATGATGTACGAGTTAGAATATTGAATGTGCTTAAATTCCTTTTTGTGGAGCTCCGTCAAAGTAAATTTCCTCACCAATCACAACATCTAGCATATAGCATTAGGAAGCAAGTACATAGGTTAAACTTGGAGGTTAATCTAATCTAGGTTAATCACCATCAAAATGTAGAAGGTGAGATATGAAACTCTTTAAATTCGGGTTAGGGCCCTGGGATAGACCCGGAAAATGTATAGATTTTCCTGACATTCGAATATCTTGGCCCTAATGAACGGTAGTTAACCCTCCAAGATATTTAATTCTAATGTAGGTTTTTTCAGTCTCAACACCACTAATGAGGTCTATTTTATAATATTTATGCCCGCGAGTAGATACCCAATAATAGTAGATACTCAACGTTGGCGAAACGAGCTGAATCTTACCACAATATCCATAGGAAAAAGCATAAGATCCACAATACATGGGCTTTGTACTTGTAGTCGGTAGTTTATCTGAAAATGTTGCTTAAAGAACATCAATGTTGTTGGTGATCTTATTAAAACATTTGAGCTTCAGAGCGTGAGCGATTTCAGTTCATTTCTTCCCATTTCTGGAAATTTTCGCGAAACACTTTGATATAATATCGGTCTTAGTAGTAGTTCTGGAAACATTTACATAAGTTTCTATGTACTTATTGTCTCCTTTATCAGGTTGTGTTTACATTGTACAGATAGACTTCTGTGATTTTCTCAGCTTGAAAATAAGTTAAGGCCGTTATTTGCATGCAGCTTGGACTTACCCATACGGTCCCATTTGGGTAAAGCATTAAAAATATGTTGGGTGTTGGCGAAGAGTGTATTTCCGTTTTCTTGGAATTCACGAAACATACATTTGGTGTCCACAAACGATCTACCATCTGTAACAGACTTAAAGGATTTAATACTTTT